CCTCTCATCATTCACTCTTGGACTGGCTCCCTCGTGGCCCCAAAGAGAATGATGTCTGGCACCAGAGCACCAGAGAATGTGGCTATCCATCACACCTGGAATGTCCTCCCTCTACCTTTGCCTCTTGGAATCCTTGGCTTCCTTCAAGACTCAGTAAACATTACTTTCCAAATGAGACCTTTCCTGTTCCTCCCACAGCTGCTAGAATTTCTGCAGCTCTCATAGTTTGCTTGATACAACGCATTCTCAGGTGTTGAAACCTGGGCTCCTGTTCAGCCAATGGAGAAGGAGAATGTTTCTCCCTTCTTCCAATTGAGAGAGGACATGAAATGCAAAAGATAGATGTGTTTCTATCACTTCAAAAGTTAGAATAATTCAACATGATGCTCAGGTCTCCTTCCAAAGTTCACAGTAGGTAATCCTCTTTTTCTTTTAGTTCTAGTGATTGCTTTAGCTGTGGTAACACAGCCCAGCTATTTTCCTACCATATTGCAGTTTGAAACTCGTAATCAACCAACAAGTATTTATTAAGCACCCGTTATATGCTGGTAGGCCTCTTGCTAAACAGTAAGAATAGCTAGCTAAGATTTATAGGGAGTGTGTTAAGCTCTTTACAAATATTATCAACATTTGGTCTTCACAACAACACAGGAAGTAGAGTACAATATTATTCTCATTGTATAGTTGAGGAAACTGAGGCCAAGAGCAGTTAAGTGACTTGTCCAAGGACACACAGCTAATACATATCTGAGGCCACATTTGAACTCAGGTCTATCTGACTGTAAGGCCAGGACTCTATCCACTCCAATACCTAGCTGCCTCAAGGTAAGAGATAGAAAGACAAAATAAATATTCTCCGCACCTTCTTGCTTATAGAGAGAATATTTCTGATTAAAACAAAATAAAAATAAATCTAGTCCTTTGAAAAGCCTTCCCCTTGGGCTTCCCAGAAGGAGTCTGTAGGTATCTTGTGGGTACCTGCCCAACCCCAGGGCCAGACACTGGTCTTTTGTAATATTCACATTTATAATGTGATTTAAGGAGTCAGTTGATCATTTGCTTACTCATTGAAGTATTCTTAGTCTTTCTATAAATTCTGGTGGATTAGATCGGACCCCGTAAGCCAGATGAATTGTGTAGTAACTGGGTCCAGAAATAGTTAAGAGCAGATTAACCTTCTTCTGCTTCTGAGTGCCACGATGCACATGGGAACACTTGCTAAGTCAAACATCTGCTGGCGCCTATGGAACGTTTTGATGGTCCATCAGTCCACAAGCATCCATCGAGTGCTTACTTCACGTGGAACATTGTTCTCAGGGGCAGGGACGCAAAGGCAAAACAGTTCTTGCCCTCAAGGAGTATACAGTCATAGGGAACTAAAAGGGACCTCAGCGGCTATTTCTCATTTTCCAAATGAAGAAACTGAGGTTCCATAGAGGTTAAGTGACTTGGAAAGAGTCACATGGGTAATAAGTCTTAGAGGCAAGATTTGAACCAAGGTCCCCCTACTCCGATGCCAGTTTTTCCAGGGTGCTACTCAGTCTAATGAGGGAAACAAAACATACATGTATGGAAATACACAAAACACAGGCAAGGGAATTTTGGGGAGGGAATAGGCGCTAACAGCCGGGGGGGAGCAAGAAAGGGTTCATGCAGAAAATGGTACTTTCTGAGTACTGAAAGCTGCTAGAGATACCAAGACAAAGGGTAGAGAGAGATTTCATGCCTGGAATGGAGTCAGTTAGTCAATAAACATTTATTAAGTGCCTACTATGTGGTAGCCACTGTAGTTCCCGCCCTCACAGAGTTCACAATCCAACTGGGGAGATAATAAGCAAACAAACATGTACAAACTATACACAAGATAAATTGGAAATATCTTAGAGGAAAGGTACTAGAATTAAGAGAGGTTGAGAATTTTGTTGTTGTTTGTCCTCTGAGTCTAGATTTGAACTCAGGTCCTCCTGAATCCAGGGCTGGTGCTCTATCCACTGCTCCACCTAGCAGCCCCTGTCCTTTGTTTTGTTAAATTGGGACTTAATGGAAGGTTGTGTTTGTCCTTCCTTCTCCAAGAGGACCATGACATCAGGGAGATGATGACATGACTTGCAATTGACTTCGATTTGAGTGAGGGAGAGCTGTGCAAGGTCACCAGACTCACTTTCTCCTCCAGAGCCATCTGGGGTCCAGTGGCCAGATATTCATCAGGAGGACTGCAGATGGCCTGGGATGCAAAGGGAGACCCAGGCCCTTTTAAGCTAAGGTCTTCTCAGATCCTCACTTTTAGTGAAATAATATCCATTCAGTGAATAGGCCTCTTTAAGAAGTGAGTCAAGGGATAGCCCCTTTAATTGAAAGAAAAAAAAATCAAATTGGGATGGGAAGAGCCTCAGGGTTGCTGTCCAAAAGAGAAACAGTTACCATTTACATTCACTCTGAGCAAGGAGGGCCCAAAAAATAACCATCAAGTGGTGCTTATGCAGGGACCTATCATCCAATCTATGAGCTCCAGAGTGAATTGGGTTTAATGCTTGGTCTTTGAGAAAGAAATCTAACAGGTAAACCCAAGAGAGGAGAGGGACAGGAAGAGGTGGAGGGGGAGGGAAAGGGGGAAGAAGAGGGAGAAGGGGACGGGGAGGAGACCATGAGCTGTTACCCAACTGGAACTGGCCAGCTAGGTCCCTATTCAGGCAGGTCAGAGTTGAGTAGGGAGAGCATTCCAAGCATGGTAGACAGCCAGATAAAATACCAGGAGCTCAGAGATGGAGTGTCCCATTCATGGGACAGTCAGGAGGTCAGTGTCACTACATCAAAGAGTATGTGAAGGGGAGAGTAAAGTATTTGATCCTGGAAGTAACAGGGAGTCACTGGAGTTTGAATAAAGGGGTGTGTGTGTGTGTATGTGTGTGCATGTGTGTGTGACATGGAGGACAGACATGGCAAAGATACGGAGACAAGAGATGGAGTGTTATGTGTGAGGACCAGCAAGAAGGTCAATATGTCTAGACAATAGAATGTGTGGAGGGGGAATGATGTGTAATAAAGCTGGAAAGGAAAGTTATGGTTGTGATCTGTTTGTGAAGAGATTTAAATGCCAAACAAAGGAGTATGTATTTGATGCTAGGGGAAATGACGGCTATGTGAGTGGAAAGGAAGGGATGGATGTGAGAGAAATTGGGTGAGGGAGATGGAAGAGTTGAAGACACCAAGATTGTGGACTGGGTAACTGGAAGGATGGGGTGGGAATGGTTAGAAGAGGAGTGGCTTTAGGGAAAGAGATCATGAATTTTCTCTTGGACTTGTCGAACTTGAGATGGACATCCAGCTAGAAATGTTTGAGAGGTAGTTGGTGATGCAGGACTGAGCCTAAATCCTAAGAACAAAACCGAACCAGAAGGAAGATCTGGCTGAAGAAGTTCAAACACACTTGTCTGCTTCCCTTCCTCTGTGGACCTTAATGCAGAATGTCACCCTTGTCCTGAACCCTCCTATCATTTCTTTTAGCCGTGAGTGGACCCAGATGGCTCATTAGTCAACTTAACATTTGGCAATCACCTACTAAACAGTGAGGCATTTATAGTCACCTCAACTCAGTGACACATTGCATCATTAACCAGGATAATTAAGTGCTCTATCAGTACTTCAAGAATCTGTGAATTCATCAACACTGGTCCTTCTCCCACTTATACGGACCACAGTCACTCCTTTGACTCCCTTTATGATCTTTGAGTTGGTGCGGCCAGAACAATCCATTGCCTTGTAGCTACCCTTCTGTTGATATGTCCTTCTCCACTGAGCCAGGCTGGTCTTCAGTCTCTGGCCAGGCTCACACTAAAAGTCTTGCTGGATCTGCCAAAGCTTACCCTCCCTGACGTAGCTTTTGAGAACCCAGAATGTTCTCAATGGGCCACAGGAACAAGACTTAATGGAGAATTTCATCATTATGAACTGTGACATGACCCATTTTTCTTTCTCTTCATCAAATACTATGGCAATTTAAAATACATTTCAAAACAGTCAAATCTGTTTTCTTTGTTCCCTCTTCCCAATTTTTTTTACATGAGGAAAGTAGCAGACATGTTTTAAGAGGAAAAGCACTGATTATGGGGGTATATCAATATAGGTTCAAGTCCAAGATGATTCTCTAACACAGTAATTGCAGAGAAGGTCAAGATCTACATGAAGAATGGAGTTTCCTCAACCAGAGTTCCCAATGAAATCGTAGATCCAATGGTTGTTCAGTTGTTTCAATCATATTTGACTCTTTTTAAGCCCATTTGGGGTTTTCTTGGTGAAGATACTGGAGTGGTTTGCTGTTTCCTTCTCCAGCTCATTTTACAGATGAGGAAACTGAGGGAAACAGAGTAAAGTGACTTGCCCAAGATCACACAACTAGGAAGTGTCCAAGGCCAGATTTGAACTCAGAAAGATAAGTCTTTCTAACTTCAGGCCCAAGCGCTCTATCCACTGTGCCCCACCTAGATGTCCCAGATCCCATAGACACAGGTCCAATGAACAAAGTTAGAGTGTAAACAAACAAATGTCATGTATAAGGAACTATAGGGAGTCATCTGTCAACGAGCGTTGACTAACCACTAGGGGCCAGGCACTGTGCTAAGTGTGGTGATACAAACAGCCCGAGATAACATGGCAACAACTATGTACAAACTAGATGTGTACAAGACAAATTGGAGACAATCAACCGACGGAGGGCACCAGCATGAAGGCTGAGGAGGAAGGCAGCTTCAAGCTGAGATCTAGGTATCACTAAACGGATACCACCATTTAGTGCTTAAAAAGAAAGAAAAGTCACCAAAGCTATGGCTGGGGGGCTTTCCGGGTTCTTCCTCAAATGAAAACATTATAAAAATCTCAGTTCCAGGGACTCTTGGGACACCTTGTTCTCTGTGGGGCTGCACCAGCCCATATCTTGTGCAGCGATTAGAAGTGACGGGCAGCTTAGGTCATCTCGCTTTCCTGGTACAGGGAGTAGCTGAGTGTTCGCAGGCTCCAGGCCCTTTGTGTGGTCTGCTGGCTCAGGCCTGCTTGAGGAAGCCTGAAATAGCCCCTAGGCCTGCAACTTTTTGGTTGTTGACAAACTCAGGTAAGAAGTTCTATCTGTTCCTGTCCCAGGGAAGACACAGGCAAGTTAAGCGCCCATGAGGGAGGAAGGCATTTTCATTTTATTAGTAACACCCTAAGAAGGCCGTTGACACTCACTCCCTCAGTGGGGGTGGGGTGGGGAGGCTGAATGCCTTCTCTGCCGCCCCGAGGTCCCTTCCGTGTTTGATAAAATAAAACAAAACAAAATACATTCTTGGTTTGACTTGAAAATACTGTTTTCAGAAAGAAGAGGCTAGTTTCTCATGTGGGACCAGACTCTGGGGGAGCCCAGTCGGGCTCTTGCCTGTATTCGCTATCTCATCTCAAATTCATCTGACTCTCCACCCAAGGGAAAACATTTGTTCCCCAAAGCTTTGACACTAAGACGATTTCCTGGGAAACCCTCAGAAATGATTGCGTGGGCTGAGTCAGTGTGCATCTATCTCAGTGAAATCAGGAGGAAATCCTGAGCCTGGGCCCTTTACTAGTTGCTAGGTTTTTTGGGGAAGGTGATGAGACCTTTTTTCCTGTCATTAAAGATTTCTCACTTTCTACTCTGAGTGAGACTACAAATCCTAATTTGAAGCTTGACCTAATTTTAAGCTTGCTGCCTCTTAAGTGTTCCAGGAGCCGGGCCTGGGCTCTCCATATTATTAATGTGGCTGTAAGATTCTTTCTTGTTGCCATGTATCCCGTTGGGTTATTAGTGGCTGGATCTGGATTCTAGCAGCACCTAAAACCTTGCATGGCTCACTCTCACAAACCATTGACATCTGTGGTGGTGAGGCTCCCCCAAACAGTCCCAGCATCTTTGGGTGCTTCGAGTTACATTTAATAAAATGTGATTAATTTGGACTCCTGAGCTTCTCCATTTCACTGGAAGGTGGAGTCCTGGGGGGAAATGGCTCTTTAGCTGCCAGGTCTTCTTTGATATGAAGAACAGTTAGACATTAAAAAAACTTTTTTTCAATGGGAGGAAAAGTCATGATTTAAAAATAAAAAGTATTGGGAACTCTGTTAACTTAGCCTGAGGAAAAGAAGATAGAGATGGGAAAGGGGAGGCTTGTGCTGTCTGTTTTCAAATGTTTGAAGGCAATGTCATGTGGAGAAGGGATTAGACAGGCAGAAATAGGAGCAAAGGACAGAAATGGTGGAGAATCCTACTGAGATTCTGTGTAAAGTAAAACTTCCCAACAATTCTACCAGCCCCAAAGTGAAATGGGCAGCCTTGGGAGGTCCTAAATGCCCGCTTTTAGTGGAGGCTGGAGGCCCCTTTTCAGGTAAATTGTAGAGGGTTTTCCTGTTGTGACATGGCTGGGACTCTCTGAGTTTCCTTCTAACTGGGATTCTAAGATCCCATGAGGGAGCATGGTGTCAATATTTGACTCCCTGGACTCTTTACTCCACCCGGGTTGGGATGTAGAGTTAAAGACGCTGGGTGGGGCAGGGGGTGGGGGTGTGTAGGGGTGATGAGTTGCAGATGAGTTACCCTCAGGCCAGAACTGAGGCATTTGGGAAAAGAAAGGATGAAGCTGCAGAGCAGATTCCCAATGAAAGGCTAAAACATGGGCCTTCAGAATGTTTGAGATGGAAGGGACCTTAGAGGTCATCAAGCCCAACTCTTTCATTTTACAAACAGGGAAACTGAGGCTGGAAGTGGGACATAAAGTGACTTGTCCAGGGTTACATAGCTAGTAAATAAGTGTCTGGGACAGCACTTGAACCCAGTCCTTCTGATTTTCACTACACCACATTGTTTTTCTCCTCACTCTCCATTTGTCCTTTACTGGTTTTCTATATGAAAGGAAAGAAACAAAAATTTATTAAGCCCCTAATAGGCCAGGCATTGTACTAAATGCTTTACAGAGAATACCCCATTTGGTGCTCACAACAGCCCTGGGAGGTGGGGGCTATGATGATCCCATTTTATGGATGAGGACACTGAGGCAGGCAGTGGTGGAATGGCTTGCCCAGGGTGACACAGATAGCAAGTGTCTGAGGCTGGATTTGAACTCAGGTCTTGCTGACTTCCAAGCCCAGTGCTTTATCTATTGTGCTACCTAACTGCATATAAGTAATGAAAATGTTTCTTAAGCTATATAACTTGCTTCTTTGGGGTAGCTTACATCTTGTGAAAACCTAGTTTCTATGTAATTTAAGCAAGGTACTCAACTACTATGGTCAGTTTATAGAATTGAGGGGAGGGAGGTGAGACCAGGATCAGAGGGGTCAACCACGGGATCCACATCCACGCTGTGGCTTCAGCACTCCAAGTGTGGCCAGAACCAAATTAATATGTACTGGGGAAATAGTTAAAATAAATAAAAATACAATTGGACACAGATGATGCTAACATGTAGTTTTCCAAGTCAAATATGTTCCCACAGGGATCCTCATATATAGGTTAGTGTCCCCATTTCTCTTGGGTACCCTTGATTGGATGGTTTCTAAGGTTCTCTCTAACCCTAAATCCTAGGGTTATTTCCAACCATAGAGATTGGAAATAAATTGAATATAGCAATTCTACGTTCCAAATGGGGAAAGTGAGGTACAGAGCAAATAAATAACCTGTCACCCTCAATCTCCCAGGAGGATTCTTTATAGTGGTTGTATTGGAGATGTGGCAGCTGGGTGGTACAGTAGATAGGGCACTGGGCCTGGAGTCAGGAAGACCTGAGTTCAAATCTGGTATCAGATACTTATGAGCTATGTGATTGCAGATAAGTCATTCCACCCTGTTTGTCTCAGCTTTCTTACCTGTAAAATGAGCTGGAGAAGGAAATGGCAAACCACTCCAGTATCTTTGCCAGGAAAACCTCGAATGGGGTCATGAAGAGTTGGACATGACTGAAACGACTGAATAACAATAACAAAATTGGGGCCATAGTGAAGCCTGTGCCTGAGGTCAATTAGCCAACAGGCCTGTATGAAGAGCCCACTATGTCCTAGGCACTGTGCTAGGTGCTGAGGATAAAAACATGAAAGTGAGAAAGTCCTCACGCTCAATAAGTTTACTTATGTCTGCCTTTATCAGAGAGTAGAGGCCAGGGAAAGGAGCTCTAGGCAGGCCCAGGAGTTGTGAACAGGCTGTGTTACATCCTTTCCAGTAGTAATGATAATATTGTTTTGTCCTCTGAACAAGAAGTGGAAAGGGTGTGAAGGGGTGCTGGAGAAATGGGGATATATGAGCAATGGCAGAGCAAACGGTAAGATATCCTGATGGCTAGGACCAGATCTCTGGGTTGTTGAAGAATGTTCTAGGGGTCTAGGGCCTGCTAGAAATAGAGAACTCACCGTCCAATCCAGGCAGCTCTGCCATTATGCCTCAAAATAGAGTGAGTTAATGTCCCTAAGGTGTGGGTGGGGAATGGGGTCGGGGGAGATCTTAGAGGTCCAGTTGATGGGGAGAGGTGGGCAGGAGCAAGAGGCTGTGCCTGCTCCACCCCCGGTGTCTTGGAGGCTGGCTGACTGAGGTGAATGAATGAGCTCTTATTAGGTGCTTACTGTGTGCAAAGCAATGGAGACATGAAGAGAAGAATGTCCTGGCTGCTCACACCCAAATAGGAGGAAACGACTTGTAGACATCATCTTAGCTTCAAGTCCCACAGAAAATCCTTTGGGTTCAGGGGCAAAGGAGATGGCAACGAATCTTCCTTGAGCCTTTGCCACTGATAAACCTTATCTGTCCCTAGTGTTGAGCCACCTGACAATACCAAGGACTTGGATAGGCAGACTTTTCTTTTCCAGACCTTCCGCAGGTACGAAGGCAGTTTGCCAAGTTGAGTCATTACAAACAGGGCTTGCTCGCCTGGCTGTTAGGCTGGGAGCAGGCCTGGTGACCTAGGGGCACTACTGATGGGGTTGGTGGTAGCAGGGATGGCCTGCCCAACGAGCTCCTGGCCAGTCTTGGAATTCCTCTCATTTTGCCCGCTTCTATACTGTACACAGACAGTATGGGGTTAGGGATAGAGTTGGACTTAGGGTTCAGAAAGAGCTAGGCTGAAGTCTCGACTCTGATATATACCTTCTACACGAGACCTTTCCTGATCCCCACCAGTGTCTGGTCCACTATCACCTCCCCAACTCCCAAATTACCTATTTTGTACAGTGTAAGTACTATTATTACTATTATAAGTACATGTCGCCTTTTCTGACTAGACCAGGAGCGGGGAACCTGTGGCCTCGAGGCCACATGTGGCCCTCTAGGTCCTCAAGTTCCATTCAGTCAAAGGGCTGCACTTGAGGACCTAGAGGACCACATGTGGCCTTGAGGCTGTGGGTTCCCCACCCCTGGACTAGACTGTAAATTCCCAGAAGGCAACTTGTCAATAAGCATTTATTAAGTGCCTACTGTATGCTAGTCACTGGGAATACAAAGAAATGCAAAAGAGCATCTGGCTCTCTCACAATCTATTGGGGAAGATAATACACAACTACGTATATAAACTATATTCAGAATAAATATGAGAGTCCTTGCATTAAGGGAGGATCAGGAAAGGCTTCTTGTAGAAAATGGAATTTTAACTGGAACTTTGAGAAAGCAAGGGAAATGAGGAGGTAGAGATGAGGAAGAAGAGAGTTCCAGGCATAGGGGACTGCCAGGGAAAATGCCCAGAGTTGGGAGCTATAGTGTCTTCTTGCTGCATCCAAGAGTATGTGGAAGAGTAAGGTGTAGAGGAATGGGAAAGATAAGAGGGGGCAGGGTTGTCAAGGGCTCTCAATGCCAACGAGAGGATTTTATCTTTGATCCTGCAGGAGACGTGGAGCCAATGGCGTTCATTTAATAGAGCAGTGACCTGGGCAGACTTTAGGAAGATGACAGATGAATGGAAGATGGACCAGAGTGGGGAGAGACTGGCGGCAGAAATAAGAGAGAATGAGGAGTGGAGGAAGACAGCTAGGTGGAGAGCCTTGGTGACTGGGAGGATGTTAGTGCCCTGTACAACAAGAGGGAAGATTTAGGGGAAAAGAGAGTGAGTTCAGTTTTGGATACTTTGAGTTTAAGATGTCTATTGGAATCCAGTTTGAGATGTCTAATAGGCATTTGGAGAATGTTTCACTTTTGTCCTTGTGGTCCCAAGGCCTGGCACATAGTAGGTGCTTAACAAATACCCACTGATGGGGATGATGACCTGGGCAAGCTGCTTCACTTTTCAGTGGCTCAGGCAGCTCTCTAAAACTGCATTAGGAAAGAGAGTTTCCTGCCTGGGAATTCCCTACACCACGGGTTCAGAGATTTAGAGTTATGAGGCACCTTACAGGTGATCTAAAGTGACCTCTTCTTCTACATATGGGAAATTGAGTTCCCAAGAGGTGAGGTGATTTGTCCATGGTCGCACAGATAGTACGTGGAAGAACTGGCATATCTTAGGTCCAGTAAAAAAAACCCAAAAAACCATACCAATAAATACAACATCTCCAGCACTACAGGATAGCACAGAACAGGTTTCTGACCCAAGTTAATTATTAAACCAAACCAACAAAGCTTACCGCAGATTTGGCTTCTAGCAAGGATCATTTTATGCCCCTTAGATTGGACCTCACCTCACCTTTGGGCTGTGCCTTGTGATTGGGTGGGGCGAGGGGCAGGGTGGCGGTGGGGTGGGACAGGGGAAGGACTGTAATTAAATGTCAAACAATGAGTTGGCTGAGGCTCAGGCTCTATCTCCTCCTGCAGCTTCTCTTTCCAGCCTTTGCCAAGCCCTCAGGGACTAGAACCTGTTTGTGGGAGGCTGGTGAGAAATCAAACCTGAAGACTACCAGGAGACAAAGGGAGAACCCTAGGTGTGTGAGAGTGGGAGGGTGAGTGTGTGTGTGTGTGTGTGTGTGTGTGTGTGTGTGTGTGTACGTGTCTATGACGCCATATGAGTGCCTACATTAGGACAGTGTGGGGGGGGGCAGGAGGAGAAGGGGACAGTCAGCCCTGACCACTGATGCAAGCTCAAAGCACCGCAGTCAGCCTCCTCCTCCTCCTCCACTGTAACAGTAAGGTACAAACCTTAAAAAGAAAAAAAAAAGTGCGATTCTTGTGCCATCCAGTGGGCTAAAAGTGAACTACATCACACACACACACACACACACACACACACACACACACACACACGCACAAATTTAGGACAAATAGCTTCCGTTTTTTAAGGACAAAGTAGGGAAATATGGGCCTTCATTTCAGGACAAAGATGTTCAAGTGTTGAGAATGAGGTGCCTTTTTTTTTCTTTTTAAAGAAGTGATAATAATAGTAACAGTAATGCCTGCCATTTGTTTAGTGCTTTTTATTTTCCAAGCACTTTCTGTCTCTTGGGCCAGTTAACTGCATCTTTTATATCATCATTCATGCATTAAAGAAGTGACTGGCCATAATGTGGAGAGGCTGACTTCGGAGTCAGGAAGACCCGGGTTCAGTCTCTGATACACTTTGGCCGTGTGACCCTGCACACCCAGTGTGCTCAGGGAGTTAACTCTGTAAGACTAAGTTACAGAGAAAGTGGCAATGTGCATTGCTAGGGGGAGCTTTCACTCTGGGGGTTCCCAATACCAGTGAAATAAGTCTAATACTCACCCCCTCCTCCACATCATTTTTCCTGTCCCAGAGTCAAATATTATTTATAAACATTTATTCCTTTTATTCAATTTATTCCTGCCTCTATCTTCGTGGTTCCCTTCATATTTCATTCACTTGAACCATCTTCATCTAAAGGACAGATACTTTCCATGCATAGTGGTATGCTGGTAAATGTTTAACAACTGGCTTTCCAGAATACATGCATACACATACACACACACACACACACACACACACACATATACACACACATACATGCACACATCAAATTATATATCTCACATTTTTAGAGTTTAATTTGCATTATCAACATCACTTACTTAAGTCTAAACAATTAACAAGAGTCTATCAGGTTCTGATTTGTAGCTTTGCCAATTTCTGAGGTATAAATGCTCCCACTAAAAATTTAATTCAAGCTGGCTCCATCATCCTTCTTGAGTATTCCCGGCCAAATCATCTCTCTCCTTGGTCCTATAGCCCTCTTCCTAGCCACAGGAGCAGAGATTTGGAGCTAGGTCTCTTATAGATCACCTACCAAAGGGCCAAAGAGATTAAATGATTTGCCCACCATCCCACTAAGAGTAAATTGCAGAGCTAAGATTCAAACCCAGTCTTCTTATTTCAAGTCCAGCACTCTTTCCAATGCACTATATTGAATAATTCCCTCAGAGTAGTGTAGTGAGATTTTAGACTTATTCTGCCAACTCAAACATGTAGCAGGTCAGGTCCCCAGAGCTCAGCAGGCTCCATCTCTCTCTCTGTCTCTCTCTCTCTGTCTGTCTCCCTCTGTCTCTGTCTCTCTCTATCTCTGTCTTCCTCCTTCCCTCTCTGTCTGTTCTAGGAGTACTTCTTCTTCTTCTTTTTTTTTTTGATTAGGCAATGGGGTTAAGTTACTTGCCCAGGGTCACATAGCTAGTAAGTGTTATGTGTCTGAGTCTGGGTTTGAACTCATGTCTTCCTGACTCCAGGGCCGGTGCTCTATCCACTGTGCAACCTAGCTGCCCTCTAGGAGTACTTCTGAGACACAGTGGACTTCTTAGAGGGTGCTTAACTTGAGTCCCATTTGGTGTGTTCCTCCCAATATATTGCCAGTGATTAGAGCCCAAGTATCATTTAACCCTTAATATATTCTCACTATCACTGATGACCAATTAACATCAATTAGCTTTTATAAGAGAATATTTACTGAGAAATTATAGTAAGAAGTAAATGCACATCCTCTCCCTCAACTGTGAGCACATTCTCCCCTCTACCACCTCAGTCCATGGGGAGATTGGGCTCATACCTGGACTCTCATTAGCCAGTTCCTCCATTCTATTACCATTAGATTTATAATCAAGAAAAGTTGGTTTCTCATTCTTGCTCTGACAGAAATAACTATGTGACCATAATTGAAAAAGTCAGTTTGGCTTCCTGAGTCTCAGTTTCCTCCTATGTAAAATGAGATGAACATCTGTATTACTCACCTCAGGTTATTGTAAGGAGAGAACTTTATAAGCCTTAAAATGCTAAATAAGTTTGCATCATTATGACATTTTTCTTGTACGTAGAGGGAAGGGCAGAGGGAGAAGGCAAAGAAAAACAGGGGTGAGTGTGGTAAGAGAGGGGATGAGAATAAGGTGAGTGTTGTATGTACAGCTGTCATTTAATACAAGTAGACTCTTCTACAGACCTTTCCCTCTCTTCGAGGGATTCCAAGCGGCCCCACCCCTTCCATGGCTCTGTGGCCCTGCAGGAGCCGCTTGGGTTCCTGCTGTTGGTCCAACTGGGAGTTGCATTTACATAATTTACGTAAAGCAAGAACTGTCTGTACTCTGTTGGGGTCTTTGAGTTGAGGATGTACATTCATCTGGTAGATGTATTGCAATGGGAATTCTTTTTTGAATATGATTTGAACTACTGAGGTCTAAATTATCATAACATCATAAATTTAGAACTGGAAGGGACCTGAGAGGCTATTTTATCTAAACCCCAGGAATTTTAGTCCAGAGCATTGTTTCTCACTCTACACTCTATAACAATGTCTTTTGAATGTCAAAATTTCCTGCTAGTTTTTGTCCAGGGTGCTGAATGTGTTAAACTGGCGGCAAGAATGTTGTTGTTCGTCCTTTAGTCTCAAAGAGGACCATGGAGAGAATAGGAAGAGAATGAATGTGTACCTTGGAGAAGGGAAATAGGAGTGAATGAACGGATGTTTGGACTTGTATGTACCCTGCAGCTGAATCTTCTATGCGTTGTCTCCTCTAATTAGAATGGGAACTCTTTGAGAGCAGGTTCCATTGAGCTTTTCTGTTTGTATTCTTAGTGCTCAGAATATTGCTTGACACACAGTTGGTGCTTAATAAATATTTTTCCAACGCAGAATCAAAAGGAGCAAGAAAAACAATGGAGCCAAAGGCAAAGAATGAATCCTCTGGTACATTCTAGTGGGTTTATAGTTGTGTCATCAAATGTTCTTGAACCTGTGACATCTCCCTGTTCCTGAGCTCTCATCACCTACCAGGCACCTAATAGTAACAGCTGACATTTATATATTGCCTTAAATTACAAAGGGCTTTACATATACTGTCTCATTTAATCCTTGCGACAATCTTATGAGGTAGATGCTATTATTATCTTCATTTGAAAGATGAGAAAACTGAGATGTTAAGTGAATAGTCCAGAGTTACCCAGTGTCTTAGGTGCCTTTTGAACTCATCTTCCTCACCAGCTACCAACACCCAGACCCTCTGAGAAACCTCCTCTGTGGCAAACTTGCCCCCTAAACTTCTAGGAAATGTGTTTCCATCTTGCTATGGCTTACACATACAAAAGCAGTAGGGTATGGAGGAAAGAATACCAGATCTGGAGATCCAGAGTCACAGAATCTCAGAGTTAGAAGATCTCAAGGGTCATTTAGCCCAATCAGTGCCTGGCTGAGAATCCCAGCATGATATCCTCAATACATTGTCATCGAGCCAGTACTTGGAAACCAGGAGTGAGGGGGAATCTCCTGAAAGTGTTTCCATACATCGAACTGAAGGCTCCTAGTTCTGTCTTCAATTCCTTTTTTCTAAGCTAAGCAATACCAGCCCCTTCAACCCATCCTAATACAGTATACACCCTCCTGGTTGTTGTTTGGCTGTTTCAGTTCTGACTCTTCATGACCCCGTTTGGAGTTTTCTTGGCAAAATCATTAGAGTATTTGCCATTTCCTTTTCCAATCATCCTGACTACTCACCTCTGAAGACACCCTAGTTTGCCCATATGCCTCCTAAAATGTGGTGTCAAGGACACTAAACTCCAAATGTGGTCCTGTGATGGGCACCAGAGATAGTCTAACAGTGGCACATCATAAGTGCTTAATAAAGGCTTGTTGACTGAGTGATCAACAGGGCAGCTAGCTGGGTAGCACTATATCAGTGGATAGTGTGTGGGGCTTTGGAGTCAGGAAGATTCATCTTCCTGAATTCAAATCTGGCCTAAGACACTTACTAGATATGTGACTCTGGGCAAGTCACTTAACCCTGTTTGCCTCTGTTTCCTCTTATGTAAAATAAGCTAGAGAAGGAAATGACAAACCACTCGGGTATCTTTGCCAGGGAAACCCCAAATGGGGTCACATAGAATCAGACACAAGTGAAACAACTGAACAACACATTGGGACAGTGACCTTCTTTCTTTTGGACACTGTACCTCTCTAAATGAATCATAAAAGTCAAGAGACGTGGGTTAGAGTCTAAGCTCAGCTGTTCGGACACACATTGGCTTCCAGAAAATCTCAGCTGATGTCAGAGATCAGCTAGGCCAACTTACATTTGTACAGTTCTGCCACTAGAACTATAATTTTGCCTTCCATTATGTTCAGGTAGAGGGCATCAAGACTGTACCTGCTTCCATTAAATGCCTGTCTTTGTATGGAGAGGAGTAACATCAGTGTCAAGAATGAGGGGAGTTAGTGTGTGCCCTCTGGGAGTCAAGGGTTGAGTCCTCCTTAAATAGCCATGCATCAAAGTTGGCCTAGCACTATCCTGAGTATTATCTAGGGCTCAATTAGATATGGGCCTTCCAGAGGTAGGGAGGATGAATACATGAACTTTTGTGGTCTCTTCCAATCTCATTTTTGTATATGTATTTCCAGGTGCATGAAAGTTCCTGGTTCACGGGAGGAGAAGAACTCAAGAAGGAAGGATCTATGATGGCTCTGGAAAATAGAACTCTCAAGAGAGTAAACTCCTATGGCCCGTGTAGTTTGGCACCTTCTCGGCGAGGTATAGACTTAAAGAGCTGAGAAGTGAAATGCCTTGTTAGGTATTACACAGCTGAAGTGAGACTTGAACCCCTATTTTCTTGGCTTTAAATCTGGCTTTCTACCCATTATACTGCACTATATACATCTCAGACACATGGTGTTTAATAAATACTTGCTGCTTGGTTAATTCACAATGATAATTGTGAATGTAGGCTGCAGTTATGGATGGATTTGGCTTTTCTTTTTCCCAGCATTCTCAATTCCACTGAAACTTACCTATCCAACTCCATATCCCTTCCCTCCCTTCTGCTCCTCTCTGCTCAATTCCAATATTCTTATCCCAGCATTTTAAGATAAAAAGCAATGTTATATGGCACAAACTTTCATTTTACAGAAGAGGAAATTTAGGTCCACAAAGGTTAAGTAATTGCCCAAGGTAGTAGAGGCAGAGCCTTCGACCCTACTGCTCATTCCACTGCACCACACTGCCTCTCTTCTCCATCAACAATGGGATTGTGCCTATTTTGTACAAAAATATTTATTGGGGCAGCTAGGGGGCACAGTGGATAGAGCACAGGATTCAGGAGGACCTGAGTTCAAATCTGGCTGTATGACCCTGGGCAAATCATTTAACCCCATTGCCTAGCACGCCCCCCCCCCCCAATTATAACAGCTCTTTTTGTGGTGGTTAAAAATTGGAATTGAGAAGATGCCTATTAATTGGGGCATGGCTAAGCAAGTTGTGGTAGACGATTATGATGGAATGTTATTGCGCTATTAGAAATGACAAGCAGGAGGATTTCAGAAAAAAAACTAGAAAGACTTAAATGAACTGATACAAAGGGAAGTGAGCAGAACCAGAGAACATCGTACACAGTAATAGCAATATTGTATGATGAAGAATTATGAATGACTTAGCTATTCTCTGCAATACAGTGATTCAAGACAATCCCAAAGGACTCATGATGAAACATGCTATCTGCCTCCAGAGAAAGAACTGATATTGTCTGAATACAGACTGAAGTATACTATTTTTCCCTCCCTCCTTCACTCCCTTCCTCCCCTCTTTTCTTCCTTCCTTCCAATTTTCTTGTACAAAATGACTAATATGGAAATGTTTTATGTGATTGCACATGTCTAACCTGTATTAGATTACTTACTGCCTCAGGGAGGCAGTAGAGGAGGGAGGGAGGGATAAAATTTAGAACTCAAAAGTTAAAAAAAAAAGAACGTTAAAAATTGTTTTTACATGTAATTGGGGGGAAAAAAAGAAAATATAATTTAAAACAAAACAAAAGAAAACCCAAGGGGGGTTGTGTGTTTTTCCTGCCCTTTGAGACTATTGGCCTTTTAAGAAACAGAAAACACATATACGTAGCCCAAACACATGTGCATATAAAAGAACTCACTATCGGAGAGCAAGCTAAGTGTGGCAGTCTCTATTCAGTTAAACCTCTGCTTCTAAAATGATTTCGGTTTACCTGGCTCTTGCCCTCTAAACTCTTTGAATGTCTACAATCTTGTCCTTGTAATTCTACTGGCATGTTTGTGATGACCTGGCCTGTACCCTGTCTCCCTCTGGTGGTTGTCTCCTGTACTATAAGTTTAATGTGATTTCTTAGTAAGAGAACTTAGACTCACTCAGGATGCCAGGGACAGATGGCCACATCCTGGTCATTTCAGCACCTGCTGCACCCAGGGAGATCATTCTCAGGGGTACCTTTGGATACAAGTCCATTCAATTCATCTGGAGGTGGGGAAGCAGTTTGATAGAGTGGGAAATCTAGATTTGAAGTCAGAGGACCTGGATTTTAATCCTGGCATTTCTACTCAGGCTCTGTGTGGTTTTAAGCATCACTTAACTCCACTGGGGTTTACTCAACTTTATAAACAACAGGATTGAATTAGGTGGTCTCAAAGGTCCCTTCCAGCTCTAAAGCCCATGGTGCTATGCCTTATTGCCTTCGTGTAAATCCAGCTGGCAAGCTCTGGAGGTGCTGTGAAAGCCAGGCAAGGGAGACTGAGTTTGATATGGGAGGCAACAGGAAGCTCATGAAGACTTTTTAGCAGGGGAATGACATGATGAAAGCAGTATTCTAAGAAGATGAATCTTGTGGGATCAACTGGCGAAGTGTCAGAGAATTCCAACAGGGTAAATTGTACATAAGGATCCCTGTGGGTTACATATTGACTTAGAAAATGTGTCAACATTATCTGTGTTCTATTGTATTTTATTTATTTTGTTAAATATTTTTCAATTATATTTTAATCTGATTCGGGGACCCTTGGGATTATAGATGCCCACTGGCCATGTGGTTGATACTCTGCAGTCCTCCACTGAATCTGTAATATCCTTATACATTATAGAGGGGCAGCTTGTGGTGCTGTGGATAGAGTGACGGATCTGGAATCAAAAAGATCCAAGCTCAAATCTGGCCACAGACAGAGCTGGAAAAGACCTTTGAGACTACCCAATTCAACCCATTAATTATAAAGATAAATAAACCCCAGGGGAATGAAGTGATGTCTAAACTCACTGCTTCCAATGTGTGACCTTGGGGAAGTCATTTAACCTCTGTCTGCCTCAGTTTCCTCAACTGTAAAAATGGGGGTAATAATAGCCCCCTACCTCACAGGGTTACTGTGAAAATAAAAAGAGATGATATTAATAAAGTGCTTAGGACAGTGCCTGACACATAGTAGGTGCTATACAAATGTTAGCAATTATTATTATTAGGATTCTGCAGCATCTGTCACGGGCACATGCAAAAGAATAGAGAAGGGTCTGGAAAGCATTGTTGAGGTTAGAGTTGTTACTCACCTTGTGACACAGGGTTGTACTAGGTCTGTCTCTTTGTTCAGCAGTTGATAGCACAGTCCATTTGGAAGGTTCTTCCCAGGGATTGCTGCCAATACAAAGGAACAAAAATATAGATGTATACAGTGTCACCTAAGTAGCCAAACTCTCCTGAGTTTCACTGCAGGGGTCTCTACAGCAATTCTACTGTCAGTCCTATTGTGTAGGGTCAAGTTTAGGAAACGGTAGCCTAGAAGCCAGAAGCTAGCTGTTAGTTAAATAAATTAAACATTTATTAAGCACCTACTGTGTGTCAGACATTGTGCTAATCCCTGAGGATGCCAAAAAAAAAAAAGGCGAAAGACAGTCCATGCTCTCAAGGAGCTGACAGTATAATTGGGGAAATGACATACAAACAAATATGTTCTTTGTTGTCATTTATACTCAAAGAGGACCAAAATGACATTACAACATACATTGTTTGACTGTGGCTGATCAGTCCAACACAAGTTCAGAAGTCTCTACAATAGGCCAGGCACATATAGCCCTTGTGAATGTTTAGGATGGAAATTGGGGAGACAACATGCACACGACTATGTATAAGCAAGTTAGACAGGATAGTGTGGAAGTAATCTATAGATAGAAGGCACCAGAATTAAGGGAGAATGGGAATAGATTCCTGTAAAAGGTAAGAGTCTAACTGGGTCTTAAAGGAAGCCAGGAGGCAGAGATGGGGAGGAAGAGAATTCCAGGCATGAAGGGCAGTCAGTGAAAATGTCTGGAGTCAGGAGATGGAGCATCTTGTTTGAAGAACAGAAAATGACTAGTGTCTTTGGATTGAATTATCTATGATTGCCATCGTAATGCTGGCTATAGAGAGCTTCAGAAGGAGAGAAAAGTTGGTGCCCTCATTAGGATTGTTGTCATCAGCTGCCTACTTCCTGTCCCACAAATTGCTCCACGTCCTTAATTGTGATATCACAAACACAGCATTCACTGGTTTCCCATCCTGGTGTGCCCTGGCTCCCACCATTTATATGGAACTCACTGTTTCCAATGTTGCAGTAAAAGCCATCCTTTCCCAGCCCAACCTTCAGTCTGCCCAGATCCACCCATGGGCATATTCCTCTTGGGAAATATCCTCAGCCAAATGAAATTAGAGACTCTGAGAATGAGTTGCTGGCTCTAAAGGTAGTGTTCAAAGCCTGGCAGCATCAGGGTTTCTGGGAACAGCCTTTTCCATTAGCCCATAAACTAAACCAATGCTAGACCTACTAGCATTCTATAAGTCTTCTGGATCTCTTCCATATCAGCATCCACATCTGTAAGACACAGCACAGTTGTCAAAACCAAGAGCCAACCCCTGCAAGCCTTCCTATGGGTAGAAAACTTTCTCATTACTGAGCTGTATTTGAATACTATGAACTTCATCTACTCAGCAGCAGCAGGGAGACACTTAGGCCCAGTGCAGCTTACTACTCTATGTGAAAACTTGGCACTTATTATGTGAATGGGGTTTTATCTTTGATGGACATCTCCTTGTTCACTGCTATTCTAGGAATACCGGACCAGGGGATTGTACTTTGTGCCACAATGGACCAGCTTCAGGGTACTGTGAAATTGTTTAAAATGCTTCACATGGCTATCTGCCATTTTTATGGACATTTACATGGCCCAGTTTTGACCACCACATCTGGACATCTGAGGTTTATGCCTGGGCTCTGTTGGAAATCCCTCAGGGGTATTACAACTCTTAGCAATTCCTTGGCCTTCCTGCTTCTTGGTGTCCTGGACATGTCATATGGGCTGTCAGCTGAAACGATTTCCTGCCTCATTAGATATTCACCTTATATTTCATGGGTCCTAATGATGTCAGACATACCTAGCTCATTAGTAGTAGCTAATAATAATAACTAGCATTTACATAGACCTACAAGGTTTGCACAGCACTTTACAAATATTATCTCATTTGATCCTCAAAACAACCCTGGGAGGTAGGTGCTATTATCTCCATTTTATGGACAGGATCACACAGGATGGAGGTAAACAAGTATCTGTTAAGTGCCTGCTATGTGCCAGACACTGTGCCACATGATTTACATACATTGCCACATTTGATTCTGATAGCAACTTTAGGAGGTAGGTCCTATTATTATTATCCTTATTTTACAGTTGAAGAAACTAAGGCAAGCAGAGGCTAAGTGACTTACAGAGGCTAAGTGATTTTCCCATGGTCACACATTTAGTAAGTGTCTGAAGTGCGAGCTGAACCTAATTAGCTCTTCCAGACTCCAGACCCAGCATTCTCTCTACTGCATCATCTAGCTGCCCTGTGTCAGTATTTTTACCTGCACAAGTCTGTCACCCCATCTATTCAGTTAATGCCAGTGACTCCTTATCATCTCTAGGATAAAATATGAAACCCTTTCTTCGGATTTTCCTCACCTTTCCAGTCTTCTTATACCTAACTCCCCACCACATACTCCAATCCAGTGACATTAACCGCCTTGCTGTTCCTTACACAAGACACTACATCTCCCAATTGTGCATTTCACTGATTGTCCCCCAAGCCTGCAATTCTCTCCCTCCTTATTTCTTCCTCCTGGCTTCCCTGGCTTCCTTCAAATCTCAGTAAAATCCCATGTTCTGGAAGAAGCCTTTGGCAGTCCTCCTTAATTTTACTGTCTTCCCCCTGGTATCACTATATATATATATATATATATATGTGTGTGTGTGTGTGTGTGTGTATCTGTATCTATATCTATATCTCTATACACACACACACACATACATGTATTTTCTACATAGTTGTTTGTCTTCCCAATTAGAATGTGAGCTCTTTGAAAGCAGGGACTGTTTTTGTTTTTCTTTGTACCCCAGAACTTGGCACTGAGCCTGGCATATAGTAGGTACATAATAAATGATTGCTGACTTGATTGATAATCTGTAGTCTTGGGAGGTTGACAGAAATTCATGGTAAAGGAAATCCTGAACTCTCCATTTTGAAGGAACTATCTCTAGCATCTCAATGATTGGAAAGACTAAGGTTCTTATAGATGCTCTTGGGACCCTGCCAGAAACCTCCAGGTGCTAAGACCAGTATAAACTTTCCACCAGCGATACTTCAGCAAACCCTAGGAGCCCTGGGACAAAGGGAGGTCACCTATATGGAGGGAAATTGTCCAAGCCCTTCCACCTGACAGGAAAAAGAAGGACTTATAGTTGGAATATATTCAGATGAGTTCTAAAAGTTCACTCTTCTGGAGCAGTAGGTTTCACAGCATATTTCAGGGATGGCTATGGGGGTGGAAGGGAGGGATTCAAACTATTTTCATAAAGTACTAAGATGTTTTCATTCCTAACAGGGTAAATATTAATAGATATAACCCATATAAGTAAAAGATCTTGGGGGGAGGGTCCTCAATAATTAAGTGTATAAAGAGGTTCTGGGACCAATAAGTTTGAGAATCACCGCCACTCTAGAGAGAGCCCTGAGTGTGTCAGCTGTGTCCTTCAGTGAAAGCCTTGATCCTGGATTCATCACATTTTGCCTGGCTCTTGACTTCTTGGCTCATTAAATTTTTTTTCCCCTGTCATCCTACCTCTTCTAGCTGTATCAATTCCCATGAAAATGCAACCTATACTCTAGTTTCCTCTGGTTGCTGTCTTCCCTAGTGTGATGTTTAACTTGATGACCTTCTGAATTGTCCTCTATCCATAGTTTCCCTTCATTCTATTGGCATTTGACATCTCTTACACAAATGGCCCTCATTGCCCCCACCCTGCTACCATGCTTGCACAGCTGTTCTTGTCTGCCAGCATCACAGCTGATGAGTTTTTCCCAGACAGTGTCACCTGATCAGGCAGCCCATGAAGACATTTCCCTGCTGTGTGATCTAGGGCAAGTTTCTGTGTGCTGCCTCAGTCCATCATTAATCCAAAGAGCAAGCCCTTTCTACCCAACCCTCTCCTGAGGGGAAATACAAGTAGGCAAAGTAATTTTAGCATCCAGCATGAAAGGCAGAGCCGAGTTATAAGGAATAATAATAATGACACTCCTGTTGCAGTTATAATCAGCCCCTGTGATTGCTATGACTCTAAACTAGGTCAAAAAAGTCTCATTGCACACACTACACATTATGAGGATTCCTTCTGACTTCACAAGAATAAAAGTTAAAAGTCCTAGAGGGATTGCAAACCAGAGAACTGAAATTAATCTGGGACATCAGAATAAAGGCATCCCAAAGCTGCAATGTCACCCCACAGGTTACTTGGAAAAAAACACTCCCTTGCCGTAAAACATACAGTTCTAATAAGGAAAACCACCACCTCTTGATTTACAATTTTACCCTCCTACTGCTGAGCAGATTTTCCTTGCTTGAGCCTTTCTAGCATTTTAGGAAAGGGCTCTGTATCACTGTCCAAGGTACTGCAGACCCATAACTGCCTCGAGCTCTCTGGGTTTGCTTCCCTGGACTCTAGATGGGGTCTAGTCTTATTTTCTACTACTGGTTGTCTAGTATCTATCTATCTTTCTTTCTTTCTTTCTTTCCTTCCTTCCTTCCTTCCTTCCTTCCTTCCTTCCTTCCTTCCTTCCTTCCTTCCTTCCTTCCTTCCTTCCTTCCTTCCTTCCTTCCTTCCTTCCTTCCTTCCTTCCTTCCTTCCTTCCTTCCTTCCTTTCTTTCTTTCTTTCTTTCTTTCTTTCTTTCTTTCTTTCTTTCTTTCTTTCACATTGATATCTATTGTTGTTATATCATGGTAATTTTCAAATATAATCACCCTTTCCCAAGCAAGGTCTTCTTTGTGACAAAGAAAAACAGTCAAGTAAAGTTACCCGACGTTGTAACTTACTTCTGACGTGCAACATTCTATATCTGTAGTTTCCCATCTTTCTACTGAAGGGAGGGAAGTGATTTCTTATGTTTGCTCAAGGGCCAAGCCTGGTGATGACAATTACTTAGTGTTAAACTTCATTTTATTGTTCTTTTCATGTTACTGTATTCATTGTGTATACTGTTCTTCTGGTTTTATATGTTTTAGTCTATGCCAATTCATGAAGGTTCTATCCTTGGCCCCTTTCTCTTCTCCCTCTCTGCTCTCTTTCTTGGC